CTGACAAATGGGGTGTCTCAGACTGACAAGTGGGGTGTCTGACAAATGGGGTGTCTCAGTCTGACAAGTGGGGTGTCTGACAAGTGGGGTGTCTGACAGGTGGGGTGTCTGACAAATGGGGTGTCTGACAAGTGGGGTGTCTGACAAGTAGGGTGTCTCAGTCTGACAAGTGGGGTGTCTTACAAGTGTGGTGTCTGACAAGTGTGGTGTCTGACAAGTGGGTGTCTGACAAATGGGGTGTCTGACAAGTAGGGTGTCTGACAAGTGTGGCGTCTGACAAGTGGGGCGTCTGACAAGTGGGGTGTCTGACAAGTGGGGCGTCTGACAAGTGGGGCGTCTGACAAGTGGGGTGTATGACAAGTGGGGTGTCTGACAAGTGGGGCGTCTGACAAGTGGGGTGTCTGACAAGTGGGGTGTCTGACAAGTGGGGTGACACCATGAGGAGTAAGAAGACTCTGTGGATAACAACTTCTGGTTTTTGCATCTAGTGATGTTTCAATGTAGATTCTTACACCGTTATCATGTTGACCTAACCCTAACTTGCAATATGCCAGAAGTTGTTATCCATAAAGTTTGACATTTTCGTACTTATTCCCCAACTTCAAGAATGCCCATCAAACAGTTACAATTAGGCACTGTGTCCGAAACAACTGCCTGCCCGCCTGCCCGTGGCTGGGAACTTTTCAGATGGCTGCATGAAATTTTCCTCCACCGGCGTGACTGTCTGGCAGATAATATTAAGACTATTTACGTATTCAGTTTTATCATTACTCCTCGTAGATTCTCAAGTATCTTTTTTGCATTATTTCAACTGAATCAAGACACAATTTGTGCCTTACGTTTCATGAATTTTCAATATTTATAATGTCTGAATGCAGGCAGGTAACTTTGAAGATGGGCAGGTAACACTTATGGGTCACCTGCCTGACTGTCTTGTTGGGTCCATTTCAAACACTAATGAGGAGTACCATCATCAGTATTCGATGACAGTCATTGTGACATTTATTGAAAAATATTATGCTACACTAACAGTTGGTGGCCAGTCATCACAGATTTTCCCGATACTGATTTTTTTGGCATCTCAATATCGTGTGACTCTTGCTTGTGGGTGTCACAAAGGTGGTATTATGTCCAACCTTTGTCAAAACCTTAATGTCAATATTGACAGATTTAGGTGCTCCCTAGATTCAAACATAATAGCAGAAAGCAAGGATCCAAGGTTGTCCCTTAATTCCTGAAACTGCACTTTAGACGAGTATAAGCATTTCAAGTGTTCACCTAGTTATGGCAGTGCCATTGAAAAATGAGTAAATATTCATGAGGTCACATTTGAATATCCTCACTGAAAAACCTTCTATTACAAACAAAATGTTCGAAACTACGCATTATGGGTCCTTGTCATAACCTTATTGTTATAATTTGAAATATAGGGGTCGCCAGATACAAATACTATTGAAGAAAACTTCAAGGTGACCTGGACACCGCTTCACAACATGATCCTAGGCTGTATTTTTGACAGTGACTTACGACAGTCATAGCGCTATGATCACTTTGTGAAACGGGGCCCTAAAAACCCATTAAACCTGAACTGCATACATCCTATTTGAGATCTTTTTCACCCAATCTCCTTAAAATCCGATCTTAGATTTTAACACAGATCTGAGGACATCCAAATACCAGTCACGTCAGAACGACCTTTCGCAAACTCTAGCTTTATTTTCGTAATTAAATTGATTAGCAACTTGTTGACATTAACCAATCAGAAAACAGCTTTCTCAAGCTTTACAGCTACTAAAACTATGACAAAGCTTTCAATTCAAAATCTGAAAACTAAACAAAAGAAAAGTCTGGAATGTTTAATAGATGAGTGAGATTGTATGGCAGTACGTCCCACGGGCGATGGTAAGTCTCATGAGCTATGGAAATTATGTTTCAAATGTTTATCCCATTGAAGCACGAGATAGACAATGATTTTGATGGAACTAGTTGTAAGGTCCATAACTGTCGTTCTGAATACCCCATGTAAACATTTTCATGGTTGAATAATTATAAACATATTCCGACTGTCACTTTTCTAATCTGGTAAGTGATGCTTTGATTGGTCAGATGAACAGACATTCTGAAGTGACCCATAATGGGATGTCCTCAGATCTTTGTTTAGTGGTAGCGAAAACTAGGATCTAAGATTGTTTTTCACTTAAATATTGTGTTCATCAATGCTATTTAGTTTTAGGCTAAAAAAAATAATAGTCTTGGTTCTCAGGCACTGCTCGCATCAATTTTTTTAACAATCTTTAAATATTCTGTGTCTCGAACACACGACCCCAGCAGTGAAATGCTACAATACTTAAGAACAACATGGCTACGTTGAATATATTGCAAACAAAATTTGGTTACATACCAGCTTGAACAACAAACAAAACCACCGCCCGCGCAATATTTTCAAAAGCCATTGCCTGAGAACCAATTCTAATATTTTTTAAAGCCTTAATTGAAATCACTCAGTCATCAGCTAGTTCTTTGCAATAGCAACTGTTAGATTAAATACCATGGTTATTCAGGTTAGTGTTCTGCATATAGATGTCTGTGGTAGATAACAGGTTGGAGTGATACACCAGCTAGTACCTTGTGCTGAGATCAGCTGACAGATCAGATGAAGGTACGGCATAACTCCCCTTGTACAGCTATAGGGTTTGTGATGACAATCTGTGTGATATTGATCTGCTGAATCGGCATCAGCCATGCTGGACACGCTGCACGAAGTGATCTCAACATTAACACCATCATAGTCCCCTCCTCTGATATAACTTCACATTCGCTGTTGACACTGATGCCTTTTTGTGTTAGTGGGCACTTGGTCTGCTGCGTGAGAGCATTATCTCAAGAGACTCATTTTCTTCTCAGAACTCTGAGTAATGGTAACATTATTGTTAAGAATAAGACATTTCGCCTTCCCCCTTTGAGGACATCTTCAACATAGGTTGATTGCTTCAGGCGAATAGATGCATGCGTGTATTTTCCATTACTGGTCCTGTTTTTCAAGGAATCAGAAACCCGTGAAGATTCAGGTTGGAATAGGTCTTCAGCAACCAATGCTTGCCATAAAAGGTGACAATGCTTGTCGTAAGAGGCAACAAACAGTTTGTCATCATATCCCAATTGCATGGATCAATTTTTATGATATCCATCGCTGGATTATCTGGTCCAGACTTGATTATTTACAGGCCACTGTCAAATAGTTGGAATATTGCTGAGTGCGGCGTTAACCAACACGCTGTCTAATTAATATCTGTGATATAAACAAGAAAAGATGTCCGTAAATTTTCGGTCTTTGCATGGGCACCTTTAACAATCACTTACATATTGGTCTAGATGTTGGTCAAGGGGGTACTTTTTGGAACAGGGCACACCATAGTGCGAATAGGATAATAGATTAATATGTTTTCAACAGTATCATCAGGTAAGCAGGGTTTCTTGCACTGTTTGGAATTAAGTGTGATCAATTGGTCCTTGAGGTTTGCTCCCCAACCCGTGAAGATCCGGGGTAGAATAGGTCTTCAGCAACCCATGCTTGCCGTAAAAGGCGACTATGCTCGTCGTAAAAGGCGACTACCGGGATCGGGTGGTCAGGCTCGCTGACTTGGTTGATGCATGTCATCGATCCCAATTTTATGGATCGATGCTCATGATGTCAATCACTGGATTGTCTGGTCCAAACTCAATTATTTACAGACCACCGTCATATAGCTGGAATATTGCTGAATGCGGCGTTAAACAACAAACCAACCAACCAACCAACCAACGTAAATATACCCGGTGTATATATCAAGCAGTGTTCCAAAATAATAACTATAAGGGGTCCTGGGGTCCTGGGGATTTTGAATCTAGGGAACCCTAAATTGTCAGTTGTTTACATTCGGGTCATGAAAACAACACATTGCCTTTTATGCTTACTTTTGAACATTGAAATAGGCCCAGATTCACAGGGCTTTTCTGTTTACAAACTTTCACACAAGTCTGCGACTTCCCCCACCATTGCCCCAAGTCCGTGTTGTAAAATTCTGTTTGGTCTGGTAAGCATGGCACATTAAATAATAGTCCATTTGATAACACTAAGATACACTAAAAATGATGCTGAGAGCCAAGGTGGCAGACTCAAACGTTTTTGGCACAGACTGTCTCAGATTCCGCAAACCCCCCTCCTGTGCTCATAAGCCTATTGTTAGCACAAGGAGATAAGTTGTTCATGTCACCATGGTTTCTGGTATGGAGTGAGTGAGTGAGTGATTATTGCTTAATGCTGCATCAGCAATTTTGCAGCTATTTGCGGCTTCAGACATGGAACTAGGAATGTTGGTTTTATCATATTTTCCTCTAAAACATGGTAACATGGTATATATAATTCAGCTGTCCTCTGATTTAAGGAAACGGTGGATAAGTTTTATCAGTTAGCACACTCACATGCTCTGATTAATTTAATTCAATTTAATTTGATTAATTTAATTCAATTCAATTCAATTTAATTTGATTAATTTAATTTAATTTAATTAAAATACATTTAATTTAATTTAATTTAATTAATTTTATCACCTTGAGTTTTGCTAAGAAGCCATGTGGTGAATGCTTAGAAGTATTCGTTGCGAATTGGAAATTTCAGTTGGCATGGTGATCATATTATTCCTATCTTTGAGACAGTTTGTCATGCCCGATGTGTAACAGATATATCTGCACCTTGGACACTAACAGCAGCTTATCTTACAAGTAACAGATAACATCAGCTCCTGGTGTGTCATATGATACACTAGATGTCAAAGATTTGTCAAACCCGATGTGTAACAGATATATCTGCACCTTGGACACTAACAGCAGCTGTTAGCAGCTCCTGGTGTGTCATATGATACACTAGATGTCAAAGATTTGTTAAACCCGATGTGTAACAGATATGTCTGGCCCTTGTGCATCCTGTGAAACACGAAGTATCAACAATTTGTCATATCAGATATTTATTGGATGTCATCGGCCTTTTGTGTGTCATATTACACACTTAAGATGTCAACAATTTGTCATCCTGTGGTTACAGTTATCAAAGGCTCCATGCATATCAGACACAATGTTGTCAACAATGTGTCATCCGGTGGTTACAGTAATCAAAGGCTCCATACATATCAGACACAATGTTGTCAACAATTTGTCATCCTGTGGTTACAGTTATCAAAGGCTCCATGCATATCAGACACAATGTTGTCAACAATGTGTCATCCGGTGGTTACAGTTATCAAAGGCTCCATACATATCAGACACAATGTTGTCAACAATGTGTCATCCTGTGGTTACAGTTATCAAAGGCTCCATACATATCAGACACAAAGTTGTCAACAATGTGTCATCCTGTGGTTACAGTTATCAAAGGCTCCATGCATATCAGACACAATGTTGTCAACAATTTGTCATCCTGTGGTTACAGTTATCAAAGGCTCCATACATATCAGACACAATGTTTTCAACAATGTGTCATCCTGTTGTTACAGTTATCAAAGGCTCCATACTTATCAGACACAATGTTGTCAACAATGTGTCATCCGGTGGTTACAGTAATCAAAGGCTCCATACATATCAGACACAATGTTGTCAACAATTTGTCATCCTGTTGTTACAGTTGTCAAAGGCTCCATGCACATCAGACACAATGTTGTCAACAATGTGTCATCCGGTGGTTACAGTTATCAAAGGCTCCATACATATCAGACACAATGTTGTCAACAATTTGTCATCCTGTGGTTACAGTTGTCAAAGGCTCCATACATATAAGACACAAAGTTGTCAACAATGTGTCATCCGGTGGTTACAGTTATCAAAGGCTCCATACATATCAGACACAATGTTTTCAACAATGTGTCATCCTGTGGTTACAGTTATCAAAGGCTCCATGCATATCAGACACAATGTTGTCAACAATTTGTCATCCTGTTGTTACAGTTATCAAAGGCTTCATGCATATCAGACACAATGTTGTCAACAATGTGTCATCCTGTTGTTACAGTTATCAAAGGCTCCATGCACATCAGACACAATGTTGTCAACAATGTGTCATCCAGTGGTTACAGTTATCAAAGGCTCCATGCATATCAGACACAATGTTGTCAACAATGTGTTATCCTGTGGTTACAGTTATCAAAGGCTCCATACATATCAGACACAATGTTGTCAACAATTTGTCATCCTGTGGTTACAGTTATCAAATGCTCCATACATATAAGACACAAAGTTGTCAACAATTTGTCATCCTGTGGTTACAGTTATCAAAGGCTTCATGCACATCAGACACAAAGTTGTCTCCAACATTTGTCAGCTTCTGTGTGGGACATCAAGTTGTCAACACTTTTCCGACTATTGTTACATATGTCGTGTAAACATGAAACTGTCTGTATATATATCCACATGTACAAGTCATTCACTTGATGAAGGGGCAAAAAGAAGCCCTGTAATGGCATTAGAAACAATGAAGTTTTTATCTATAAACGTTTCTTGTCTTCATAACTATGTTACATATACAGCTGCATGCATGTGAGACACTTTTGTCATCGGCTATGGGACACTAGCTGTCAACACTGTTTTACTGTCTAGCAGAGTTGATCTGCTACTGAAGATGAAATTCAAGTTGTCATCAATTTGTCATCCCAGCGGTGTACCATATATCGGCCATGGGACACTAGCTGTCAGCACTGTTTTACTGTCTAGCAGGGTTCATCTGCTGCTGAAGATGAAATTCAAGTTGTCATCAATTTGTCATCCCAGCGGTGTACCACATATCGGCTATGGGACACTAGCTGTCAGCATTCTGTCTGATTGGTTGCAGTTATGATCAACTTTATTCATATGAAACAGATGTCAACAGTTTTTCATCCCAACTGTGTACCACATATCAGCTGTTTGATGGACGCTATCTGTCTGAATGTGCTGCAAGTTGATTGTCTGCTCCGCATGCATGTGAAACACATCTCAACACATAGTCTGCTTGCATATTGGACACGAGCTGTCGACAATCTGTCTTAGTGTCTTGCAGAGTTGACCGGCTCCATGCAGCTGAAACAGGGTCTTTCAACAGTTTGTCATCTCAACTTTGTACCACACAGATGCTTGACGGACACTAGCTGTCAACGTTCTGTCTGACCGTGTTGCAGTTATAATCAGCTCTATGCAGATGAAACAAGTGTCAACAATTTGTAATCCCAAAAGTGTATCACATCTCAGCTGCTTTTGTATGGGACACTAGCTGTCTAGCTTACTGTGTTGCAGTTATAATTAGTTACTTACACATGAAACATGAGTTATCAACAATTGTCATACAAGCTGCGTAACAGATGTCATCGGTTCCTCATGTGCGAGTCTCATCGGTAATGCTTCAAACTCATACATATCTCGATTATCCCTCCGAGACTGTCTTACCCCACAACAGTACTGTTGTTTGAACAACACAGCACAACGGCACCACAACAAGTTCAACAAACACAGCTTCAATGTCCACCCTGCCCCTATGTCAGTTTCATCCGTGTCCTTTGTCGAACACTCCCGGAACTCCGGTGCATGGAGAATGTGCTCCCTTCGTCTGTACCCGGGAAGCTTCTTGTCTCGATGTTGGATATAAAACAAGGACATGCTCAACACTATGTACATTATTGATGATAAAAACATCAGTGGTAGAGAAACGGGGTAATATTTGAATTTAATGTTGGTGAGAGATTGTATAATAATACTGGAACATGCTTGCATATTTTTGTACGGGAGCGGGTCTGAAAAAAGGGAAATGATTTCTGTGCAGGTTTGTGTTAGAAGGGTGTAAATGCCGGAACAAGTTCGGAAGTTGTTGTCAACAGTGTATGTTGTGTTGCTGACTGTGTTAATCGTAACGACATCAATGTCACCAGCACATGATGAAAGTGTGTTGTTCAAATCAGTCTCGATTTGACCAAAGTTCTGATTTAACTGTGTAATGAGAAGATATATGGAAACACCAACATCACAAATTCCGAGAAATATCAAAATCACTGAAGTTGCTTTCCGTCCCAGACATCCAAACCCAAGGACTGTCACCAACAGAACTAGTGACGCCATATAGGCTGGGATACCTTGACCTATGCAAGGGTCAACGGAAAGGTCAAGGGTCAACACAAGGTCGCGAGCACTTCTTCGACAAACGAGCATGAAAATGACGGTACAGGTTATCTGGGAAGCACTGAGTAGAACTAGCAGGGAGAACACCATGCGTGTAGCATAGGTCAGAAAACAGGGATTGTTGCAGCATCCCTTCTTCTTCATCATCAATGTTGCATAGTAACTCCAGGTGAAGAAATACAAACTGTGCGCTGGCCAGTATCACAGAAATGCCACATGGAAAGTGGGCCTCACATTTTAATGATTTTCACATAACAAACCGTGACCTTGAATTAATCTTTTTTTCCATGTCGTTTTGTTTCCATTGAAGATGCTGAGTTCACAACAAAGCCAATTGAAAATAGAACATTATCCTTGAGACGTACGTGCCACTGGAAAGCACTGAAATCCTTCCATTCATATTTCTTGTAAGTGTCAGTTATATTTAGAATGTAATCATCATTGTGCTTGAGTTGAAAGAAAAGAGAGTGTCAGACGAGGAGATGGCTGTGATTGCATCCTTTCTGAATGTCATGTCTCAGTCATCTGCATAGTCAATCCTGACTGCAGTGCTGTGAAGCTTATGTGTCATGGAAGCCAGGCAGATAATGCACTTGGATTTGCATTTCAGCTAATATTGATAGATGCCAGTTGCTGGGAATCAATAACTCTGATTGACTCGAGCCTCTCTCTTGTACATACCACAGACCACAATACACCCTTCAAACTTCATCATGGCAAACTGATTGATTAGAAGTTCTTTCAATCCCGGGCAGAATTTCTAGATTGTTCCGACCACTGAAACCACACCTTGTTGCTGGGATCCTGTTGTGATAATTGGATTAAAACACCCTTTGGAAATAAATAATTTAGCGCAGGAATCTTGTGGGTATGACTCCATTGTGGTTGGATTGCCTTGGGATGTGATGGTGTAAGAAATGCGGCATATGTCTCCTATGTTGGTGTGAGACAGTGGTGTCTTGTGATGGTGTAAGGCACTGGTGTCTTGTGTTGGTGTAAGGCACTGGTGTCTTGTGTTGGTGTGAGGCAATGATGTCCTCTGTTGGTTTTAGGCACTGGTGTCTTGTGTTGGTGTGAGGCAGTGGTGTCTTGTGTTGGTGTAAGGCAGTGGTGTCTTGTGTTGGTGTGTGGCACTGGTGTCTTGTGTTGGTGTGAGGCACTGGTGTCTTGTGTTGATGTGTGGCACTGGTGTCTTGTGTTGGTGTGAGGCAGTGGTGTCTTCTGTTGGTGTGAGGCACTGGTGTCTTGTGTTGGTGTGAGGCACTGGTATCTTGTGTTGGTGTGAGGCACTGGTATCTTGTGTTGTTGTGAGGCACTGGTGTCTTGTGTTGGTGTGAGGCACTGGTATCTTGTGTTGGTGTGAGGCACAGGTATCTTGTGTTGTTGTGAGGCACTGGTGTCTTGTGTTGGTGTGAGGCACTGGTATCTTGTGTTGTTGTGAGGCACTGGTATCTTGTGTTGTTGTGAGGCACTGGTGTCCTGTGTTGGTGTGAGGCACTGGTGTCCTGTGTTGGTGTGAGGCACTGGTGTCCTGTGTTGGTGTGAGGCACTGGTGTCTTGTGTTGGTGTGAGGCACTGGTGTCTTGTGTTGGTGTGAGGCACTGGTGTCCTGTGTTGGTGTGAGGCACTGGTGTCCTGTGTTGTTGTGAGGCACTGGTGTCCTGTGTTGGTGTGAGGCAATGGTGTCCTGTGTTGGTGTGAGGCACTAGTGTCCTGTGTTGTTGTGAGGCAGTGGTGTCCTGTGTTGGTGTGAGGCACTAGTGTCTTATGTTGGTGTGAGGCACTGGTGTCCTGTGTTGGTGTGAGGCACTAGTTTCCTTCGTTTGATGTTCTGCGGTTGGTCAACATCTTGAAAGATCCTGAATGATCACGATGTGGTAATTAGGCCTGTTAATCATGTAGATTCATGATTGATTAAATTTGCATTCAGGTAAACAATCTTGAGGTAATGAGGTCTCCACGGTGAAGTCATTCCACTGGTATCATTGTTTGGGCAGCTGCATCCCCTGAAACAAATTCATCTTATGTTAGTGGTATATCTCAGTTATGGATGAGGGTGGCAGGCTGCTATTAATAATAATCATCTATTTATGTAGTTCAGGCAAGGCTGCTCACTGGCACTTTACATAATCCTGGTCAATGGATCAGTTTGGACTCAATTCTCATTATCATCTCCCTGGGGAGTATACAGCCCATGCTGTCTGTGGGTTGCGAGAAGGTGAATGGTCACATTACCATCATCAGTATTCTAATATTCTAACACAGTCACACAGAGTCACCCATCCACCTACTTTCTGCGACCAACGCTACCTAGCTTCACCTGATGTGTGACTTGTGCGGGGCACGTGCCGCTACAATACCACACTATAGGGCTGGGACTAGTCCAGATTTACCTGGGTACCCACGCCCTATTACCCGACCCTACACAGATACTCGCTGCAGGTCTCAAGAGATAAGTACAGAATGTCCGATTGGGAAACATTTTCCCGTACTCCTGTCAAAATGTATTTAGATACAGGTATAAAATGATCTGGTCATGCATAAACTGAAGTTGACTGAAGTTTTATCTTTATGCAAACATATAAAGTCAGAAGGAATGTGTGCATAGAAATTGGCCTATTGTCCTTTACAAACTGCCCAATTGATAAGGTATAATTGGCCATTTCTAAGGGATTTTCTATATATATATATTATCATTATAAGGACTATCAGACTAAAATTGTTAGTTTCTATTGCTGCTGGCAATACCTCTACCACTGAAGCTGGTTATTTCTGTTCAGAAACCGAAGAATGGAAGAATGATTTTGGATTATATCGTATTGATCGTAATGAGTGCCCTAGGAATTTAAATATTGACAATAGAGGTATGCTTATGAAAACCATACACAACATGGTCAGTCTGTTTTCAGAGACCAAGCTTTGTTGAACACACTTAGTTCAAACATCCATGAAACTAAAACGTTGTTGATGATACATGTAACTACAATGCAGTTAGTAGTGTATACCCCTTCTGGAATATACACAAGGAAATATGTAAATTGTCGGTCTTAGTAGGAGCGATGAAAAATATCACTTTTAGATTGGTCTAGAATTTGGTCAGGTTGTGTTTAGTTGAATAGGGCACTAAATGTGTCAAATACGGTAAATAGAATCTTACTCTCATGTCTTTTAATGTCAAATATATCCTCACTTGTCCATGAAAGTTTAAAATTTCTTTTCAAGCCTAAAAGTTTTAAACTTTCATCAACTCGACGTGTTCATTTTAGGGAGCATTCTCTATGTATATGGGAACACCATCATCGATAGAGTGTTGTTCACGTCAAACCTCAGCTAGTGATTCCGATCATCTATGTAACGCCGAGGGTAGACTGGTCAAGCCGCTTTGACATTGGTATGAGTGGTTACTGTTGCATTTCTTTGTTTCGATCAGACGTTTCATTTCTTTGGCACAGTGTATTTCGTGAAAAAAAGAGGTCGGTCATTCAGTGGTGGATTTAACTTCAAAATTGTGAGTAGCCAGCAGGGCTTGCTCTTTTCAGAATTACTGGCCCTTCCTTCTCCAAACTGGCCTACAGCTAAATGGTGGAGGCTGCGAAGTGGCTGAACCTGAGGTTGTGTTGCCACCTATACTAGCAGGGCTTGCTCCTTTCAGAGTTACTGGCCCTTCCTTCTCCAAACTGGCCTACAGCTAAATGGTGGAGGCTGCGAAGTGGCTGAACCTGAGGTCGTGTTGCCACCTATACTAGCAGGGCTTGCTCTTTTCAGAATTACTGGCCCTTCCTTCTCCAAACTGGCCTACAGCTAAATGGTGGAGGCTGCGAAGTGGCTGAACCTGAGGTCGTGTTGCCACCTATACTAGCAGGGCTTGCTCCTTTCAGAATTACTGGCCCTTCCTTCTCCAAACTGGCCTACAGCTAAATGGTGGAGGCTGCGAAGTGGCTGAACCTGAGGTCGTGTTGCCACCTATACTAGCAGGGCTTGCTCTTTTCAGAATTACTGGCCCTTCCTTCTCCAAACTGGCCTACAGCTAAATGGTGGAGGCTGCGAAGTGGCTGAACCTGAGGTTGTGTTGCCACCTATACTAGCAGGGCTTGCTCCTTTCAGAGTTACTGGCACTTCCTTCTCCAAACTGGCCTACAGCTAAATGGTGGAGGCTGCGAAGTGGCCGAACCTGAGGTTGTGTTGCCACCTATACTAGCAGGGCTTGCTCTTTTCAGAATTACTGGCCCTTCCTTCTCCAAACTGGCCTACAGCTAAATGGTGGAGGCTGCGAAGTGGCTGAACCTGAGGTTGTGTTGCCACCTATACTAGCAGGGCTTGCTCTTTTCAGAATTACTGGCCCTTCCTTCTCCAAACTGGCCTACAGCTAAATGGTGGAGGCTGCGAAGTGGCCGAACCTGAGGTTGTGTTGCCACCTATACTAGCAGGGCTTGCTCTTTTCAGAGTTACTGGCCCTTCCTTTTCCAAACTGGCCTACAGCTAAATGGTGGAGGCTGCGAAGTGGCTGAACCTGAGGTTGTGTTGCCACCTATACTAGCAGGGCTTGCTCTTTTCAGAATTACTGGCCCTTCCTTCTCCAAACTGGCCTACAGCTAAATGGTGGAGGCTGCGAAGTGGCTGAACCTGAGGTCGTGTTGCCACCTATACTAGCAGGGCTTGCTCTTTTCAGAATTACTGGCCCTTCCTTCTCCAAACTGGCCTACAGCTAAATGGTGGAGGCTGCAAAGTGGCTGAACCTGAGGTCGTGTTGCCACCTATACTAGCAGGGCTTGCTCTTTTCAGAATTACTGGCCCTTCCTTCTCCAAACTGGCCTACAGCTAAATGGTGGAGGCTGCAAAGTGGCTGAACCTGAGGTCGTGTTGCCACCTATACTAGCAGGGCTTGCTCTTTTCAGAATTACTGGCCCTTCCTTCTCCAAACTGGCCTACAGCTAAATGGTGGAGTCTGCGAAGTGGCTGAACCTGAGGTCGTGTTGCCACCTATACTAGCAGGGCTTGCTCTTTTCAGAATTACTGGCCCTTCCTTCTCCAAACTGGCCTACAGCTAAATGGTGGAGGCTGCGAAGTGGCTGAACCTGAGGTCGTGTTGCCACCTATACTAGCAGGGCTTGCTCTTTTCAGAATTACTGGCCCTTCCTTCTCCAAACTGGCCTACAGCTAAATGGTGGAGTCTGCGAAGTGGCTGAACCTGAGGTCGTGTTGCCACCTATACTAGCAGGGCTTGCTCTTTTCAGAATTACTGGCCCTTCCTTCTCCAAACTGGCCTACAGCTAAATGGTGGAGGCTGCGAAGTGGCTGAACCTGAGGTCGTGTTGCCACCTATACTAGCAGGGCTTGCTCTTTTCAGAATTACTGGCCCTTCCTTCTCCAAACTGGCCTACAGCTAAATGGTGGAGGCTGCGAAGTGGCTGAACCTGAGGTTGTGTTGCCACCTATACTAGCAGGGCTTGCTCTTTTCAGAATTACTGGCCCTTCCTTCTCCAAACTGGCCTACAGCTAAATGGTGGAGGCTGCGAAGTGGCTGAACCTGAGGTTGTGTTGCCACCTATACTAGCAGGGCTTGCTCTTTTCAGAATTACTGGCCCTTCCTTCTCCAAACTGGCCTACAGCTAAATGGTGGAGGCTGCGAAGTGGCTGAACCTGAGGTCGTGTTGCCACCTATACTAGCAGGGCTTGCTCTTTTCAGAATTACTGGCCCTTCCTTCTCCAAACTGGCCTACAGCTAAATGGTGGAGGCTGCAAAGTGGCTGAACCTGAGGTCGTGTTGCCACCTATACTAGCAGGGCTTGCTCTTTTCAGAATTACTGGCCCTTCCTTCTCCAAACTGGCCTACAGCTAAATGGTGGAGGCTGCAAAGTGGCTGAACCTGAGGTCGTGTTGCCACCTATACTAGCAGGGCTTGCTCTTTTCAGAATTACTGGCCCTTCCTTCTCCAAACTGGCCTACAGCTAAATGGTGGAGGCTGCGAAGTGGCTGAACCTGAGGTCGTGTTGCCACCTATACTAGCAGGGCTTGCTCTTTTCAGAATTACTGGCCCTTCCTTCTCCAAACTGGCCTACAGCTAAATGGTGGAGGCTGCGAAGTGGCTGAACCTGAGGTCGTGTTGCCACCTATACTAGCAGGGCTTGCTCTTTTCAGAATTACTGGCCCTTCCTTCTCCAAACTGGCCTACAGCTAAATGGTGGAGGCTGCGAAGTGGCTGAACCTGAGGTCGTGTTGCCACCTATACTAGCAGGGCTTGCTCTTTTCAGAATTACTGGCCCTTCCTTCTCCAAACTGGCCTACAGCTAAATGGTGGAGTCTGCGAAGTGGCTGAACCTGAGGTCGTGTTGCCACCTATACTAGCAGGGCTTGCTCTTTTCAGAATTACTGGCCCTTCCTTCTCCAAACTGGCCTACAGCTAAATGGTGGAGGCTGCGAAGTGGCTGAACCTGAGGTCGTGTTGCCACCTATACTAGCAGGGCTTGCTCTTTTCAGAATTACTGGCCCTTCCTTCTCCAAACTGGCCTACAGCTAAATGGTGGAGGCTGCGAAGTGGCCGAACCTGAGGTCGTGTTGCCACCTAGCAAGACTCTGGATGAAAAAACTCCTCACCCCTAAAACGTTTTTTGTGCACTCTGAGATTAAATCTTGGCTTCCATTTGCCTCATTTTGTGGTGATTTATGAGCAAATAAAGATGTTGTTGTACACAACATTACAAAATGGCATCCGGTTGTCATTTTACCGAGATGATCCAAATAACATTATTAAACATACATGGAGAAGGAGTGAAATTTTGACCAGCAGTTAAATCGACCCCTATAATTGAATCCATTGATTTAATTATCGTCCCACAGTGTGAACTATTTAGCAAACAAATCTTTTGATAATATAAGTTTTCAAAGATGCCTGCAGAATAGTTGTTGTTTTTTAAAGGTTAGGCTAACAAAAATATTAGTCTTGGTTCCCAGGCACCACCTGCATCATCAAAAAGTACGCCGCATATTTTGTTTTTAATTCAATTTT